AATCCTCACGCCACCTTTTTACCAAGCCCCTCACTATTTCAGGAAGCAAGCACTCAGCACTGAGTCCACAGTGGCGGGGGGCGGGGGCAGGCACAGCCCCGCCCTCACGGAGCTTCCAGTCCAGCGCCACTGCTGCAGCAAGGCCAGACCCGCCTGGCAAGCCCTCTGCAGAGGTAGGAATGCTTCGAGGTGCTGGAGAAGCAGCTGGAAAGCCACCAAGGGGCCCGTGCTGTGGGGCAGAGGGAGGCGGGGGGCGCCCAGCGGAGTCGGGGCAGGTGGGCAGGGCCATCCCTGCAGGCTCCCGGGCCCTGAGGTTTCCTGCGAGAGCAAGAGTACGTCGCGATGGGAATCTGGCTTGAAGACACTCGCTCTGGTGGAGAACGCAGCAGACGGGGCCAAAAGGTGGCAACAAGCACGTGTCCCCCAGCAGGGGAAGGAACAGGCCAACGTGGTCCATCAGACGGCAGCGCGGCATCCAGGCACGGGGAGGAACAAAGTGCTGACGCACGTTCCAGCTGCGACGCATCCCACAACATCGCACTCAGTCAGAGGCCAGTGGCGGTGAGGCCGCAGAGCATGGGATTCCACTCACATGAAAGTTCAGAACAGGCCACTCTATGGCGGCAGGAAGTACAGGAGTGGTAGCTTGGCGGGGGCGGGGGGGAGGGGGGGCGGGCAAGGGACTGATAGTCCAAAAGTTTCTTTTTGAGACGAAAAGGTTCTCAAACTGCTGGTAGTAACGGCTGCAAAACCCACTTACTTGTATCCTTTAAGTGGGCAAATCACATGCACGTGGTACGTGAACTATACTTCGCTGGGTTTTGTTTTTTCAGCAGATACGCTGAGGAGGCTGCCGCCATCTTGCAGCTGAGAGGTGACGGTGGGAGGGACCGGGTGGCGGCAAGACAGAGGGGAGGAAGGGCCCCAGGAACAGAGCTCAGGGAAAGGTGCGGGCCCAGGACACCCCGGCTGTGCGGGGGCAGGAAGGGGCCAAGGGCGCGCTGGCGGCATGGGTGGCGCGGGCCGGGCCCCGCCCTGCCTGTCACGCACTCCCTCCTGCAGAGTGAGGACGCAGGGGCGCTGGGAAACGGCCTGGGCTTTCTCTTTAACCTGGGATGATGCTGCTTGAGGAAGGAGGCCTCGAACTCTTGGTCAGAAGGATTAAAAGGTAGCTTCCCGGACCGGGAGCCGACCTGGGTGGAGGACCCGCGGGGCGGAACCTCCCTGCAGTGCCGGCCGGCAACCCATCGGGGAGCTTTCGGCGGGCACCTGCCTGCAGTCTCCCTGGGTGGACATCTCCAAGGAGGAGCCCCTCTGGGGTCCGGCGTGGCTAGTGAATCCCACAGAAGACGTGATTCAGCGCCCGGGCACGTGCTGCATACATAATACCTTTCAAGAAGACATTTTTATTGCCGCACTTGAGGACAGCCCCTCGGAATCCAGAGTCCATCAAATCGACAAGACGGAGCAGAGTACAGGGTCCCGGGTTCACCTCCAGGGCCTCCGCCTCTTTCTCTGCCACGCCAGCGTGGACCGCAGCTACGCAGCAGGCTCCTCCACAGGGAAGCGGAACTTGGCACAGAGTTCAGGTCAGCAGAAGCCCACTGCATGCAGCAAACCCATGCTGTGCTGGGAACGCCAAAGAGGGAGATAAAAACCCTCCAATATCTGCGATGGGTCATGATTTACACCGCAGTGCTTGTTGCTGGACAAGTGAGATAGAAACATTACCGCCTCTCTGCACGTGCTGTGAATCCACGGCGTAAAACCGCTGGAGCAACTAATGGAGCCTCCGCACATCCTCCCTCGTTAACGAAGAGGGGTCCTGCCGCCACCGGGATCCCACCTCGGCACCGGGCGCAGCCGCTCCCAGAAAGGCAGCCCGGCCGCCCGGTCGGGCCACAGCTCGGCTCTCACCGACTCCCCACATGGGCTGCTTTTATAAAGGAAAAATAGGAACTCTGTTTCCCAGCTGCGGGGCTCTGTGGCAGCTGGTTTCCTGTTTGCACCCCAGTCCACCGGTGACGGGAAAAACACTGGGGAGCTGTGTGGAATTTGTCCCTCTACTTCTGGTCCACAACCAACCTACTGACTTCCAGGAGTCCTCTATACACACCCCTTAGGCACTTGTCCATGTTTCCAGAAGTAACGGAAAAAATCCCAGTGCCAAGGGCATGAATGGACACTGCTGCCTGCACACCAAGAGATATCACTCAGCGGCTATTGTGTTTCTAACAGATGTGGATAATGGGGTCATCCGTTCATTTACTATCTAGTTCATCATCCACGTGTGCGCTTTTAATTGAAACTTAACCTTTACATCCCATATTCCAAGGGGGAGCAGCACAAAAACACATCTATCTCCGGAGGCACAGATGGTGTGAGTTTCTCCCCAGGCAAACCTATGAATGAACACTCCCTTTAAATTTCTGTTGCATTGAAAACAAACTCTGATATACTGGCTTTTTCACCCCTGCTCCCACACTTCAGCTCCTCCTGGGCAGGTGGGGATGACCAGGCAGAGCCCGGGTGCCGCCCAGAGTCACCTCCAAGAGGCGGGTCATTGACCTTTCCCGGCCAAGCTGCCAATCATCGCCAAACTCTCCAAAGGACAGGGATCCGAGAATGTTAAGCCTACCCAACTCTTCTGGTGGGTCGACCTCTGCAAGGTTGCACCTCAGAGCCGGGAGAGCCAGGAGCTTTATTAGCATGCCGCGCCACGGCCGGCCCCTCCCCTCCCTCTTTTATGAGCCCTTGTTACATAAAATGCCACAAAGGGAAAAGGAAAAACAACACACTTACAGTTACAAACATGAGTTCGGTTGGCCAGGCCAAACCCTGGCTGCGTACCAGATGTTATTTTTAGTCATTTAAAAGAGAAACATGTTTGAAAAGGCCAGAGAACAAAAGTTTTTGTTATCTTTCTTCTTAAACACACACACACACACACACACACACACACAAAGATGGAGGTACACTCGTTCACAAGCATCCTTCCCCATTCAAGCCGAAAGGCACAGGCAGGCTGGGGCGGACACAGCTCCTTGCGAGTAACCGCGGAACGGCAGCCTTCAAACAGGATTTTCCAATGTTTCCCTCACCCTCATCTAAATTCCGTCATGACAGATAATAAATAGCTACTCATTTACGATCATCATAAAAATTTAAACAGCCTTGAAATAGTTGCTACAATACAGAAGAAACGACCAGACCCAAGCTCTGAAAAGCCACTCCGAATAGTAAAACTATTGCCATGTAGAAGCCACATAAAGAGACATTGTTGCAGCGAAAGCTGCGGGATTACTGGGTCTGCTCTCTCTCAAATCTTCTCTCGCTGCGTAAGAGTCAACAACTTGCCGTTTTACCCAGTGAGAAAAAAGGTTTAGTAACCCTCGGCTATCACACTGTGCCAGGCTTGGTGGTGGTTTCTTTTTTTTAGAGAAAGTATCTGATTTGATTCTACGCAGTGATTAAACATCTTTGTGCTCAGTGGAGAAGGGTCTTCCAACCCCTCCCCCTCCAAAAATGGCATCAAAGCAATCAAAATGGTAATGCCGGGCTCGGGTCCCCTCCCCCCGCGAACTCCCCGACTTCGCCGGGGCCGCGCGCCGGGCCCCCCTCCAGCGGGAATGGAAGCTTCCACTCCAGGCCGGGCGCGCGCGGCCGGGGAGGGGGCCGCGGCCCCGGCAGAGAGGGGTTAATGCCTGCGTCCCAACCCTCCCGTCCGGCCGGCCGCCCCCGACCAGGCGCGGACCCGCAGCGGGGGACAGCCATCTTTCTTTCCGCAACGCCGGCCCCCTCCTCTTCCGCACGCCCCCTCCCACCACTTCTCAACTTTAAAGACTCGTCGTAATGAACGCCGGCCTCCGAGTTCCCCCGCGTCCTCGCCACCGCCCCCGCCCATCTCCTCCGGGTCCCCCGACAGCGCCCCCCCCCACATTCCTCCGGGGAGGGGGCGTCTGATCCAGCCGCTCCGGCCGGGTTGGGGGAGGGGGCGGGCGCTGTCCAAGTTTGGGGTCGGCGGCGGCGGCCGGCAGGCAGGAAGGAATTCCGAAGGAAGCCGGGTCGATGGCCAGGGGCAGCGGGGGGCGGAGGGACGGGCGGGGGCCGCGGGGAGGGGCGCCGAGGCCCCCGTCCCCGCCAGCCTCGGAGCCCCGGGCGCGCCATTGGCTGCGTCTCTCAAAGTTCTCGGCTCGGGGCGGGAGCGCGTGTGCGGGGAGGGGAGAGCGGAGGGGGAGGGGCGCGCGGGGCCGCGGGGAGGGGGCGGGGGCGCGCGGCCGGCGGCGGCATCTGTTCGTGGTGCTGAAACCCCGAGCGCTGAGCTCAGCGCAACTAAGTCACAATGGACAACTTTTCCTCCCCCGCGAGGGGCCGGAGGGGGTCGGCGGCCCAGGCCCCCACCATGAGGAGCTTCTCCCGGATCCCCATTTACACCTGACTCCCGCAGACCAAAGTTGGGGCAGAACTGGGGGGTCCCGGGGGCGCGTTTCTTTTGTTCCCAGGGAGCTGGCGTCAGGTTCCAAGAATAAAAAGTGAGGCTGGAGAAGTGAGGGGAGGGGACGCCCAGAGGGACGCTTCTATAGATGAGATTTGCCACAGAGCCCACAAAGCGCTTCCTAGTAGTTTGGCGTCCAGGCCCGAATCACCGCCCCTCTCCCCCTGCCCGCACGCCAGTCTGAAATGGGGGCACGGGGCCGGGAGAAATGCCCACATTCCAAAACCATGTCCACCAACTCAAAATGGACGCCGGGCTGCCCGCTGCCTTTTAAGTGCGGCTTCTGTCTTTCGGCCACCGCGCTCTACCCCCTCGGCCTCCGAGAACCCGGCTCTTTCTTTCCAGAAAAAGGGGGGCCGGGTAACTTTGAGGGTGGCACACGGACTCCTCTGGGAGCCTGAGCGCGCGGTGCCGCGGCCGGCACTTTTTAGGGTGCTCCCAAAGTATCCGGAGCCCCCTCCCCCCGGCCCGGGCTGGGGGTGGGCGCAGGCTCCTGCTCGCTTACTTGTTTGTCGCTGAACGCAGGAATCCGCGGCTGCCTCTCGTGGAGCTGCTTCTTGAGGTCGCCGTTCTGCGGAAACACGGAGGAGAGGGCTCAGGCCGGCCGCCTTGGGGGTCCGGTGCGCCCGGGGCCCCACGGACCTTAGCCCCGCGCCCTGCAGCCCACGGGCCGGGCCGCCCGCCACGCGCCCCAAGTTCCCCGGCCTTGTCCCGCAAGCGCGGCGACCGGGCAGTGCCGTGCGGGGCCGCTTACCTGTGGCTGCCGCCTCATCGGGGCAGCTCGCGGGGCGGGGCGGGAGCCGAGGCCACCCGGAGGTGCGCCCCGAGCCGTGCAAGTTTGCAGGCCGGGGTGCGTGTGGAGTGAGCGTGAGTGTGTGCCGGGGGAGGGGGGAGGAACAAAGAGCCAAGTAAACACGGCGAGTCCGTGTGGAGCAAAGCTCATAAATATTCAAGTCGCGTCCTAATCTCCCCGACACACACTCGCGCGCGCCGCAATACCGCTCGGGCTCCGGCAGCCACGCAGCCGCTCGCTGAGCAACAATCGCCCAAACTACTTTTGCAAACTGTGCCGGGTTGCCCGCGGGTGGGGGCCGCAGGGGGTCGGCGCGCACTCTCGCCCAGACCCCGAGGCAGGCTCGCGCAGGGTCCCCGCCTGGGACCCTCAGTCCTGCGGACCCTGTGCCGAGACAGAGAAGATGCCGGGCTCGGGGTCCACGGGCCCCGACTCGCCCCTTCCAAACTGTGCAGCACTGCACGAGTGGGGGGGTAGAGGGGTAGCCCAGCGGGGTCCTGCAGCCTCCCCCTTCCCCCACCCTGGGGGCAGGCTCGAGGAGGGCCCCCCCTCCGGGCACCTCCAGGCGAGTGGACCCAGCGACGAGGAACAGGACGCCGGGACGGGGTCCCTGGAGCCCCAGCCCCGGCCCAGGGCTCCCGGCCGCCTACCTGGTGGCGCGCGAGTTCCACCGCAAGCGCCTCCGGCCGGCTCTGCAGCTCCATCCCGGCAACTTGGGCAGCACTTTGCGCTCACTTTGGCCCCGGCCCCCGAGAAGTTGCGCGGCTCTGCGGGGGCGGGAGCTGGCGGGGTCGCACAGGGCCTCCCGGGAGGGGGGGGACACGAGCCCCCTCCCCCACCACCGGCAGGGAGGGGGGTTCTGGCGAGGGGAAAGAAAGGCGGCCGGGCGCCGCGGCGCACAGCCCGCGGCCACTCCAACTCTTCAGGATGCCCGGCAAGTTGCGCCGGGTCCCCGGGCTGCCGGCGCCGCCCGGCGCATGGCCCCGGGGCGCCCGGAGCCCCGCGCAGCCCCGCGCAGCCCCGCGCCTCCCGGCGCGCACCCGCCCCGCCGCCTCCGCCGCCCGCGCGAGCCGCCCGCCGGCAGGGACTATATTTCCTCCGGCGCGCGCGCCTGGATCTCGCTGGGTCTCGTCAAAGTTGTGCCTCGGCCCGATGCTAATTCGGCAGTGCCCGGATGGAGCGGGCCGGGGCGGCGGGGGGCGGGGCCGGAGCCCAGCGCCCGCCCCGCCCCGCCCCGCCCGCGCGTGCGCACTGCCGCCCCACCGCGGCCGGGCGCCCAGAGCGGAGAACAAAAGTGGAGACCCGGAGGGGCGCAAACTCTGGCGGGGCGCTCTGAGTGGGCCCCCGGCGACGCCGGCCTTGCCTTGCCCGCCCCAGACGACCCCGAGGAGGACGGGGCGTCCCCATCCCCCCTTTTGGGGAGCCCAGCTTAAAGCCGGGTTTAAAGATATTCATCGGTGGGAGGAAAAAATTCGTCTTTCACGTTTTTCCTCCTCTGGCTCTCGCCGATCCGCCAGTGCCCTGCGCCCTCTCCGCCTGCCGCCTGCCGCCCCCTTTCCTACTTTATTTACACGGTCTCCCTCCGCGCCCGTCCCCCGCTGCGACGCGGGAGATGAAATTAGTCACGTCGCCAGGCTCCCCCACCGCCGGGTGGTCACCGTGTTGTTTAAACAGTATGGAAATTGATCTCTGGGCTGTTCTTTAATGATTTTTTTTTTTTACACTCACAATTAAACTCTCAACAGATGTCACTGGAGTTTTGAAGACTGTTGTTGAAAATCGTAACATGCCCGGTCAATGCGACATAAAACAATTAGAACTACAGCAGCGGAGATCGCGTTTCGGAACGGCAGGCCCGCGGCCAGGACGCCAGTGTCTCCGAGTCGGTATCACCCTGCATCCCCAACGCTGAGTTACCGTCCTCGCCAACTACCGTCGGAGCGCTTTGTGCCGCCTGGACACAGCGTCCCGGCGCGTTTGGAAGGCGCTGGAGAGAAAGGCTGCACTCGCACTTCAAAGTGAACGTTTCAAACGATAAATTAGCATAACTTCCTATTACTCCGCAGCCAAAAAAAAAAGAAAGAAAAACAAAACAAAAATACCAGGCGCTCGCCATCAACAAACGCCCCCTTTCCGCATACGCCAGCACGCCACGAATTGTGTCCAGAGTGAGCAGAACGTGTGGGAATTTATTTTTGCAGCTGGGAACCCCAGTGCAGTTCTGGCCTCTGTCCGTGCATTTGCCACAAGTGAGTTAGGTGTTCGTCTGTCGGGGACCCTGCACCCTGGGGGCTGGTCACCCTGGCCTCTACAGGAAGCACTTGGTAAGGGAGCTCTATAATCCAAGGCAGAACTAACCCAGGCCTTTTTTTTTTTTTTAAGGTTTTTTTAATTTATATTTCGAGGAAGGGGAAGGGAGGGAGAAGGAGAGGAACATCAGTGTGTGGCTGCCTCTCGTGTGCCCCCTACTGGGGACCCGTCCTGCAACCCAGGCATGTGCCCTGACTGGGAATCGAACTAGCGACCCTTCGGTTCACAGGCCTGCGCTAAATTCACGGACCCACACCAGCCACGACTAACCCGGATTCTAAGAGGTCACGTTCCATGGGGTCCAGTGCCCACCAGGGAGAAGCAGAGTTCACCATACGCAAAACAGAAAGGCTCAGCCTGGGTCCCCTGAGGAAGCTTGGGTCCCTTCCATTCTGGGTTCAGCTCAGGTGACATCCAACTCAGAGCGGTGTCCCCTGCCTTTTAGTGCTTTTGCTGGCCTGGACACCAGCCTGGGAAAGGGGACTCCCCCAGGGGTCCAGGGTTCAGGGAGCCAGAGAGCGGGCACTTGTGAGAGATTCCTACTATGATCTCTTTAAATGTCACCGGCTTTTTGGTAAAACGTTAGAATAATTTCATTGGCCATGCCTGTATTGACACCAAAAGAGGGGATATTCAGGTTGTTTGGGACCTGCCCAGTTGCAGGCAGATGCTGGCTGGTTGAAGTGCTGTTCAGCCCTGGCTGCTGTGGCTCCGTGGATTGAGTGCCAGCTTGTGAACCAAAAGGTCGCCGGTTCGATTCCCAGTCAGGGCACAGGCCTGAGTTGCTGGCTACGTCCCCAAACACACGTGGCTGTTCCTCTCCCTCTCTGCCCCTCTCTCTAAAAATAAATAAATAAAACCTTTTAAAAAATAAAGTGCTGTTTGCAAGTTTCTGCTAATTAACTGAGATCACAGATATGATTATCTGTGTGCCCCTCTGTTGTTTTCACAGCTGCCTAATTCCTGAGCCAGCACAGGGTCAGGGCCTGGGTGCTGTCTGAGACCGGGCGAGGTCATGCGAGGAACGCCAGAGCCCTGGTTTTGTAAGTGCAGGCTCAGGCGGCGCCTGTGCCACGGCTGCCGCGCACACGCATGCCCCCGTGCGCCTGCCTCCTAGGCCGCCTGCTGTGCCCACGCCATGCCCTCCCTCCGGAATGCACTCCCCTCAGAGCCCACCTTCCAAAAATTCCTCTTGAGCCTCCCAGACTCACTTCACATGCCACCTTTTCTGGGAAACTTTCCCAATTTCTACACGTAATTGTTCACCCCTCCCCCAGCCCCCCAGGCGCACCCCCCCCCACCCCGGCCGCCCTGCACAGGGCTTACTCAGCAGGGAAGGCGTTCTGTCCCATATTAAAGGACACCGTCCTCCTCCCCATGGAGCCTGAGACACTCCCGAGTCTGGCCTGTGGGTAGAGCCCAGTGCCTGGACTTTGAAGGAAGGCGCCGTGTGTGGGGGCCAAGTCAGTGCTTAACGGCTGGAGAAGTGAGCGAGGGGGTGAGCGGGCGAACAAACGGAAGATAAAGGAGACGCACTTTCTGGTTTTGGAAAGGTGGGCTGTTGATGATGGCCGTGGAAATAAGTGACGTCTACACTTCTCCACCAGCTTTGTAGCCAAGGGAGCAGGGAATCTATTTCTGCATTTGAAACACATGTCCACCTCTTAACAGCCTCGTGACTTTGGGCAAGTTACTCAGCATCTCAGCCTTCATTGCTTCAGATGTAAAATGGGAAGCTGCCCACCAACTATAGTCACCCCAGATTCCCAGGGTTTTTCCTGCGCCCGGACCGTGGCCGCCTGCTCAGTGGAGAGCCCCAAGCACAGCCTGTTGCTGGCTTAACAGGCCCCGCGGTTTCGCAGGGGAGAGGCCCGTCCAACCCTGTGGACCCATGGGGGCTCCCGCTGCTCCCCCCTCTTCTGCACCCTGAGGCACAGACCTGCCGCCCCAGTGGCCCACAACTCAGAAGTCTGGGGTGGGGGTTAGCACTTCATCGAATGACCCTGGACCAACTCGAAACAGGATTCAGGACGGAGCCAGCACATCAAGGTGCGCTCCCTTCCGGGGCCTGCTGGAATGCTCTCGGGCGCAGTGGTCCCGCCAGGCGGCCTGTGGAACACCCCGCACAACCCAGCACGTGGCTGCCTTTCACGGGACCTTGGTCTTGCTTCCCTTCCTCCCGTTTCCCCTCGCTCTTGCAGTATACTCTAGGATTGCGCCTCCAACATAGACTGGGAGCTTTATTTTGCCTCTGTTTTCGAAGGACCCCTGGCTGAGGAGGGCACTAGCTGTAGCTCCCGTCCCACAGGGTCCCAGCGAGGCCACATCTACAAAGGCCCTGGGTGCACCGGAAAGAGGCCAGAACATGAGGGACTTGGTCTTCAGTATCTCCCCGTGTGAAAGGCACCTACAAGAGGCCAAGGTGCATCCTGAAAAAGGACTTCAAAAGCAGCTCAGGAAGCATTTAATTTGCCCCCACGGTGCACAAGGCCCTTGCACTAGGTTCTCTGTGACATGCCTCCAATTAGACGGGTTCCCTACGCTCGGAGGCGTGGCGTAGGGACAGCTCTGACAGAGAAGGTACGATGGGAGGGACTCTGATTCGGGGCCCTGCATTAACTGTGGCGCAGAGGGAGAGAAATGGGGTGGGGTGGGCCGGGGCGGGGGGCACCGCAGGGACGGCCTGCGAGGAGCCTGTTGGGGCGCCGCTGGGGCAAGGCCTTGAAGGAGTGGCAGCCGCACGGCTCCGGGTCACGCCGTTCAGAAAGCATCCTCCATGTCCGCGATCCCGAGGGCCCTCACCGGAGTTCCGCAGGCGGGTCGCCTGCCCCCTTTAGACAGGTCGGGGGACGGATGCTCAGGCCGTCCACTCAGCCGGGGGGACACCCAGACCGAGGCTGGGGAGAGTTGGCCAGGGGGTCAGGCTCTTCCGCTTGGGAGCCGTGTGACCTTTGGCAAGTTGACTGGAGGATGGTTTGGTTTCCAACGACAGGGAAGGAAAGGCAGAGGCACACGCCGAGGTCCTGGGGCCGGCTGCGGCGGAGGCTTCTGGGGGCCCGCAGGGGGGCCCAGGCAAAGCGGGACAGACACGACGGCGGGACCCGGTGGCAGGGGCGACCACGCCAGCTGGGCCTCAAGGCACGCTGTCCCACCAAGGGGCGCCTGTCCCGACTTTCTGCACAGACGGGGTGACACCGTCAGGTCTGTGCTCTCGGGGGACAGCACGGGGAGCCGCAGGGCACGCCGGAAGGTGTGGGTCAGCTGCGGGGTGAGCCCGCCAGGAGGAGGAGCCGGCGCAGGGGCGGGTTCCTGGGCAGCACCGAGGAAGCGCCGCCGGCTGGGGGCTGCGGCCGCAGGGGCTTGACTACCTGGTGTGGGCGGGGCCCAAGGACCATCCCGTTTTGCCTCCTGTCGGGGTGATAATTAATGGTGCCCCGTTTCGCT